TAAAATATTATCCATTGGAAGGTTCAGTTAAGTGAGAGATCCATGGAACAAGCCTGCCTTGACCTATCCACTTTTCACTAGAGACTTGATTTAAGTTTTGCTTAACACAAATGAGCTGAATCCCTGTTGTGGAAGAACCACATGTGATTTTGTATTCGGAGAATTGCATCTTCCATGATCTCTTGCAGGACATTTACAAGAAAATTATGATACACCACTTCCAAGAGTCCTGTTAACCAGTCCCACATGATATCTACCTACGCGTTTGTGAATAATTGAAAAATAGTAAAAGGTATGCAAGACAAATTGTTGCTCTCAAATGTTGAAAATTTCATAGCTCAGAAACACGACCATTTCAGACACATTTTCATTCTTTCAGTATGTGGAACCATATCACAGAGTTTAATGAAACATTTTTGTTCACCTGCAGACATATATGTGTATGCACAAATAATAGGAAAGAAGGTAGTAAGTATGTAGTGTACATACATACATATATTATGGCGACACTTGTTGCAGTTCAAGATGAAGGGTTATTTATTGATGGGGACAACAGGAGATCATGACTGCTAACAGGGCTTGGGTGGTTTGATGCCCATCCCCTTCAGTTCTGCTGTGCTTTATTATGGTGACATAGAGGGCAGCATATTTATTATGTAAAGTTCACTAAAATGGCTACTGCAGATGGCCAGGCAAGGGTTGAGGGGCTGAGAGGGTTGATGGGCATTTGTGAAAAGATGTTTTCCGTTTATTGTGTTTTCAGTTTGGTAAAAATTACTCAAATTTCTTAATCTAAATTTGAGAACACGTGTTGCTCTTGTAATAATTCACTTTCTGCGACTTTGTTGCATTGATCTTACAAAATCGCCAGTTTTGTACCATCACATAAGGATTTTTTTGACAGATCAGAAGAGCTGAAAAATGTATTTTCTGTTTTCTGTCTACATTTATTTATCATATCCGAATGAATAACTTTTTTAGTCTCCTAAAACACTCAGGATAAACATATAAATGATCGTCATCATCATCATCATCATCAGTAATCTGTCAAGACGACAGGTCCACCGTCTCTTTCAAAACAATTCCTCCACTTAATGCGATCTAGAGGTTTCTCCTTCAAATGACAGTATCCTCTTCTGTCCCCAAGGTCATCCAGCATCTTCTTACGTCTTCTT